TATACATAGGGTAGAGTAGGTCAGGCACTTGGACTTCACCTCTACGGAGCCAGTAGGTATACATAGAGTAGGGTAGGTCAGGCACTGGGACTTCACCTACACGGAGCCAGTAGGTATACATAGGGAAGAGTAGGTCAGGCACTGGGACTTCACCTCTACGGAGCCAGTAGGTATACATAGAGTAGGGTAGGTCGGGCACTGGGACTTCACCTACACGGAGCCCCACCAGTAGGTATACATAGGGAAGAGTGACTTCACCTACACGGAGCCCGGCCAGTAGGTATACATAGAGTAGAGTAGGTCGGGCACTGGGACTTCATCTACACGGAGCCCGGCCAGTAGGTATACATAGAGTAGAGTAGGTCAGGCACTGGGACTTCACCTACACGGAGCTCGGCCAGTAGGTATACATAGAGTAGAGTAGGTCGGGCACTGGGACTTCATCTACACGGAGCCCGGCCAGTAGGTATACATAGAGTAGAGTAGGTCAGGCACTGGGACTTCACCTACACGGAGCCAGTAGGTATACATAGGGTAGAGTAGGTCAGGCACTTGGACTTCATCTACACGGAGCCCGGCCAGTAGGTATACATAGGGAAGAGTAGGTCAGGCACTGGGACTTCACCTACACGGAGCCAGTAGGTATACATAGAGTAGAGTAGGTCGGGCACTGGGACTTCACCTACACGGATCCCGACCATTAGGTATACATAGGGAAGAGTAGGTCAGGCACTGGGACTTCACCTCCACGGAGCCAGTAGGTATACATAGGGTAGGGTAGGTCGGGCACTGGGACTTCACCTACACGGAGCCCCACCAGTAGGTATACATAGGGAAGAGTAGGTCGGACACTGGGACTTCACCTACACGGAGCTCGGCCAGTAGGAATACATAGGGTAGAGTAGGTTGGGCACCTTGGCTTCACCTGAACTTGAATGACGGGGAAGTATGCATTGGGTGAAAGTTGGCTTGGGTTTCAAGAATCGATTAATATATGATATTCACTCTTTGGTTTCTTCGTTTATACGAAGATTACAAGTCGCATGTTTATGAAATAATGCAAAGTAATCTCACTAACAGAAGACAGTATTTCCATACATTGCTACGACTGAACGTGTGTACATGCAACTTTATTATGGACTGCGATTCACCAGAGAGCGTTTGCTTCCCTGAAAATATTTGTTCAATACTGTTTAAAAGCTAATATGCAATTATATGATTATTTTGCACTTAACATATCCTTGAGCTATTACTCAGTTCATACCAACTGAAGACATGAGTCATTATATAATGTATGTACGGGATTATTTACAACAATATTTGCAAACTCAAGTTTCTGACAATGTCCTTTCAGGAATCTGGTGAAATACTTTGAGAAAGTTACCGAGGGACAAAAAAGGTCTGAAAATCCTCGTCCCCCTCTGTGCCACGACCTATGACCTCATCTGGTGAGTGAGTCTGTCAAATCAGCACATGAGATGCACCCACGCGTCTATCAATATAGGCTTCATAGGATTCCTTTGGCAATGACGTTATGCCAGCAGGCTCAGCCCCATTCAGTCTACAGGTTCATGTTGAACCACATCAAAGATCGGGGTTGTCATCTTGTTTCGTGGAACCTGTCAGAGGCACGGAGACCGTCAAAAACAATATCGGCAGCCTTTGGCAGTAGGGGCGTGAAACCGTTGTGTAGGTCAAGTTCTGCGACATCCCAGTTCAGGATGGAGAGGCGTTTCTTTTGGGTGAGTGAGTTGGGTTTAACGCCTCTTTTAACAGTATTCCAGTTATATAACGGCGTGTCAGCTTAATGTTGAGGGGAAAGCCCGAAGTGATACAGGTCTCAGACGTTAACCACTTTGGTGAAACCCACGAGCACGGATTATGTGCTGACAACCCTTGAAACATAATCGGGGCGAACCGGGATTCGAACCCGCAAACATAGGTCTCAGGCGTACTCAAGGGACGCAAATCTGCACAGCGAATCGCGACACCTAAGACGACAGGGCCAGCATTTGAGGTCAACACGAACAAATCTGCACGTATTTGTAAGGCCTTGGTTGTATTTGAGGTCAGCACAAACCAACCTGCACGTATTTGTAAGGCCTTGCTAGCATTTGAGATCAACACGAACAAATATGCACGTATTTGTAAGGCCTTGGTTGTATTTGAGGTCAGCACGAACCAACCTGCACGTTGCTTATAAGGTCATGCTTGTATTTGAGATCAAGACGAGCCAACCTGAACGTATTTGCAAGGTTTTCTATGTACCTCTTCAGTTCAGTTGATTGCAATCACGACCTTATAACCATAGCAAAATAAAGAATTCAAGATACAGTTATCCAACCCGAATACAGAAAATCGTTGCGAAGATCTATGCCATGAGATCAGTTTGTATCTTGCACCGTCTTGTTCTGTTTCTACAAAGAATGCAAGTGGCAACTTCAAATTCTATGTGGGGAACTTCTTTCGTTTTGATGAGTAAGTATATTCAGACAATCGTTATTGTGATTTGAGCCCTGTCCTTAGAGTTTGAATAATAATGTGAGCATGACTATATGACATGTAATGCAATCGTATAGATAAGGGGCGGTCGGATTGCCAAGTGGTTAAAGCGTGGTGGTTCACGCCGAAGATCCGGGTTCGATTCCCGGCATGGGTGCAATGTGTGAAGCCCATTTCTGGTGTCCCCCGCCGTGATATTGCTGGAATATTGCTAAATACACACACTCACTCACTCACTCGTGTAGATAAATCATGTGAATATCCCACTGTGGAAAACAACAATACCCTTCGAAAATACCGAAGCCGAAAGACTTTCAAATCACGTTTCACCATTATTTGATGCAACCTTCGGTTTTGGGGACATATGATTTAGATTTGAGTATATCTAAAGAAACAGACAGACACTGCGTCCTTATTAACTGTAATCACCCTCGGATCAAACGGACTCGATTTTATTACCCCTTGCTGCACTATATTGCGAAATAGGTTTTCAAATTAACAATCACCACATGTTATTTGAGGGATTCGGGGTAAGAATGTTTATATCCTAATGTTCGCTACATCAGAGCTCAGTCCATCCGGAGCTGACAGTTTCCATGTTAGTGTTTCACTCCCTGCATCCAAGAATGACTCACTGAGGGGTTTTACTTGGACGCTCTGTCTCTCCCTCAGTTCTCGAATGACAAATTTTGATAACTTTACTGTGTTTCTCTCAGACACTCCACCAAGAACAGTAAGCTGAAATGGTTTAAGTGTGTTTCTCTTAAACACTCCACTAATAACAGTAAAGTGAAATGGTTTTAGTGTGTTTCTGTTAGACACTCTACAAATAACAGTAATCTGAAATGGTTTAAGTGGGTTTCTCTCAGACACTCGACTAATAACAGTAATCTGAAATGGTTTTAGTGTGTTTCTGTTAGACACTCTACAAATAACAGTAATCTGAAATGGTTTAAGTGTGTTTCTCTCAGACACTCCACTAATAACAGTAATCTGAAATGGTTTTAGTGTGTTTCTCTCAGACAATCCACTAATAACAGTAAACTGAAATGTTATTACTGTATATCTCCCAGACAGTCCACTAATAACAATAATCTGAAATGGTTTTAGTGTATTTCTCCCAGACGTTCCATGACTACACAAAACACTGATGTGGTCATATTGTGTTTCTCTCAGATTCTCCACCAGTAAGAACACTGCGAATGTTTTACTGTATTCCACTCATAATGTCCACCTATAACAACGCACTAAGATGGTTTTATTGTTCAAGGAATCTTGAGGGGAAGTTTTACAACAACAACAAACTGTGGTGGTTTTATTGTTTTTCTCTCAAACACTCCACAAATAACACTGTGATGGGTTTATTGTGTTCCAGGAATCTGGAGGGGAAGTTTGACTTCGTCTGGGACGTGGGGGCGATGTGCGCTGTAGATGAGTTATATTCCAGCTATATGACGGCGGTCTGTAAATAATCGAATCTTGACCAGACAATCCTGTGATTGATGTCGTGGGCATCGATCCACACAATTGGGATACAATGACATACATCAACCAAGTCAGCGAGCCTGACCTTCCCATCCCGTTAGTCGCCTCTCACGATAAGCATAGTCGCCTTTTACAGCAAGCATGGGTTGCTGAAGAATTATTCTACCCCGGATTTCCACGGGTCGTTTAGTCAATGAATAGACGTGAGATTTCGGTGCATGATTCGATTCAAATTTTAATACTTTCTAAAACCATTTACATTTGAGTTCCTACATAGGACGTGCTGTCTTGAAGCCACAGTTATAAGAACAGTATGACTTATACAATGCAAAAGGTAACTGACAGTGTGAATATAGAGACAAATCACCTCTGTGATGGCTTGTACTCCAGGTACATGACAACTGTCAGGAGAGTGTCTCACAAGTAACTGACAGTGTGAATATAGAGACAAATCACCTCTGTGATGGCTTGTATTCCAGGTACATGACAACTGTCAGGAGAGTGTCTCACAAGTAACTGACAGTGTGAATATAGAGACAAATCACCTCTGTGATGGCTTGTATTCCAGGTACATGACAACTGTCAGGAGAGTGTCTCACAAGTAACTGACAGTGTGAATATAGAGACAAATCACCTCTGTGATGGCTTGTATTCCAGGTACATGACAACTGTCAGGAGAGTGTCTCACAAGTAACTGACAGTGTGAATGTAGAGACAAATCACCCCTGTGATGGCTTGTATTCCAGGTACATGACAACTGTCAGGGGAGCGTCTCACAAGTAACTGACAGTGTGAATAAAGAGACAAATTACCTCTGTGATGACTTGTATTCCAGGTACATGGAAGCTGTCAGGGGAGTGTCTCACAAGTAACTGACAGTGTGAATATAGAGACAAATCACCTCTGTGATGACTTGTGTTCCAGGTACATGACAACTGTCAGGGGAGGGTCTCACAAGTAACTGACAGTGTGAATATAGATACAGATCACCTCTGTGATGGCTTGTATTCCAGGTACATGGAAGCTGTCAGGGGAGTGATGCAGCCCAAGTGTATCACGATGCTGGAGTTCCCCAAGGAAGGAGGTTCAGGTATTATTAGATGTTACATCTGGCAATTGTGACTGTCACACACCTATTATTAGTTATTATATAGCCAATATATTCTAATTCGTTAGCATTTAGATATTAATATGAGAGTTTAACTGAATGGGCTTTTAACAGCCTTATCTTCTTGTTCAGTCACTCTTCATACAGCCGTAACGACTCGTGCATAGTATGATAACGTTTGATGTAGAAATAGCTCTCTTATTCTTTCAGTTTTACATTAAAATTATTTCTTTCTCACTCATTGTTTCGTGTATGTTATACTGCCTGTTTTAGAACACCTCGGGCTTATTCCAAATTTAACAACAATAGATAAGATAAAAATATATGTTGTTGAATAGATTAATATATTGTATCGAAAAGGTTAATTCCGAGTGCAGATCATGGTGGCAGTGTCTCCTTCATTGCAGGGGCTCCCTATCATTTCAGTGAAGAGCAGATGAAAGAGTTATACGGTAAACCCTTCACCATACGCTTATGTTATGTTAAAGGCATGATGCCCAGTCGTCGAAGGCGCCGCAATTTGCTGTGCAGAGTTGCGTTCCTCAAGCGTGCCAGAAACTTATGATAGTGGATTCCAATCCCAGGTCGCCATGGTTGTTTCTGGTCTGCCTGTCATGACTACAGGGTTTCACCAAAGTAGTCCACAAGGGCGGAGCCAGTATTTCTTAAAGGGAGGGGTAAAAAATCCTCTCTCAGATAAATTTACTGAGGGGTGTGGTGGGGGTATGGGTGGTTTGGGTTTGTTCTGGAACCGCCTGTGATATCGTTCTACTCATACTTGCCGAAAGCGAATTTAACATTTGAATTTGTCTGTATCATCGTTCATAATCTGTGAGATAGTCTGCACATTGTTTTTACGCAGGCGACATTTGCGACGTGGAGTATATGGATGAGTATGTGTACGACTTCAGCGAGGCCTTCAGCGGTGACGCTCAGAAAGACGCGATGCCTCAGGACTTCACAGAATATGACGTCAAGGCTTGTCTACAGACCTACTGTCTGCGGAAGAGGAACTAACTGCAGTGGCAGTCTCCACTATCGCCATGAAATACATCTTGATTCTTTGAACCGAACACATACGTTAAAACCATATACAGCACCTGGTTCGGGCGGAAGATCATAATAAGTGATAAAATCTTCAAAAGAAATAAAATAAAATATGTCAATAGAAATGTTGGTTGATTTTGTCCCCGAGCAGAGACTTGCGAAAGACCTTCGGTGTTTTTACAGTAGCTTCTTCTGATATCACCACACTACTTCACCACTTCCGGGACAATGCCATTCCCAGGACTCATGCTTACAACGTCTCCAGTCAACTCGTGGTGTGATATCACAGAAACACTGCTTTAAACGGCTTACAAACACGCTCACTCACTCACACCCTCATCCTGTAGACTGGTGTAGGTTTTCATGTGTACGAGGTTGATCAAGTAATCGAGGGTTCCACAACATGTTAAGATGTCAGGACCGTCTCCGTGTCTCGTTAAAAGAGGGTCTGCCGGGAGAGCGCAAGGTCGGTAGTTCGATGCCCAGTCGCGTCATACCAAAAGACGTTAAAGTACTGGTCGGGTCGCAGTCAGTGTTATGTGTCTGAGCACTATATGACCGGCATTAGCACACACACACACACACACACACACATACACACACACACACACACACACACACACACACACACACACACACACACACACACACACACACACACACACACACACACACACACACACACACGCACGCACGCACGCACGCACGCACGCACGCACGCGCACACGCACGCACGCACGCACGCACGCACGCACGCACACACACACACACACGCACGCACGCACGCACACGCACACACACACACACACACACACTTCCCCCTTTTTTATTTTGAGCCCTAATATCTTACAAGCAAACTACACAACTACTACTACTACTAAACTACTACTACTACTACCACCACCACAACCACCACCACCACTGCTACTACTACCACCACTACTACTACTACCACTACTACTACTACTACCACCACTACTACTACTACTACTGCTACTACTACTACTACTAGTACCACTACTACTACTACCAGTACCACCACCACTACTACTACTACTACTACTACTACTACTACTACTACTACCAATACCACAACACCACTACTACTACTACTACTACTACTACCACTACTACTACCACTACGACTACGACTACTACTGCTTGGCTATAACTACTAGAATCCCCTGAGTATAAAATCGGCTCCAATGTTCACCTCTACGGAACCTCTGCCGTGAGTTGGGATGTCACGTTGTCATTCCGTTCGCATTCAAAACAGACATATATTCTGTACAGATACAAATTTGTATTAACATATGTAAATGGACAAATTGACATTTAACAAGAAAATCATGTTTTCAAATGACATAATTTATACATTATTTCACGTATTTAACTGTACACAATATTCAAAAGCTTTATCTTCATATAAAAACAACAACAAGACAGATGTTATATTCTACTACAGAATGTTCCATCATATTTCAGTACTGATCCACTGATTGAAAAAACTGAAGCACCGGTGAACAATGGTCAATGAAGACGGGATACTTATCACCCTACAGGCATTTGTCAACCTCAATTGATGGTCATATTTAGTGCACAAAGATTGATATGAAACGCTGGCTCCTCTCTGACCCGACCGTAGTCACGTAGTCGGTAGATCTTTGTTTAACGACAGAGTGAACCTAGATCTGATTTTAATGAGATGGAAACATTGCCGATGTGACTATAAATCTTATCCGACCACTGTCCATTCCCGTGCATACTCCCACCCCCACACTCTAACTTCCCGAGCCGTGGTGTGATGGTCCACTTCGCTCTCCTGGGAACACTGGATGGGATGACAGGCTGCTGTGGTTTGTCTGTAAATCAGAAAACAGACCTTTAGTATCGTTCAGTTTCTGTCTCTGATCTTCTGTCGGTCACTCGCGATCGTCAGAAATGTAATACGTATTACTTTGTCTCGTTCCGCACATTTACTGTAATCTACCACTAAACGGTCAGATCTTGTACATTCTCGATAAGGGAAATACCATTAAACCATTAATGTTGCAGATGCACACTTAGGTTTCAACACTGCACTTCCACATCTGACACACCTAGGTCTAATCTCTCTTTCTGGCCGTACAGCATGTATCTAATAACACATTCCACTCTCATCCCCTTCTTAGTCCTACCGGTCTGTATTAATCATCCCCTTTTCAATTCCAGACATTAAGAACATTTAGGGCTCCCTCATACTCGAGGGTTCCCTTGTATAATTATGTTCATTCAACGTCGTTCATAACTTTATTTCAGGGACTATATGTCAGCCAAGACACATACCCAGCTCCATCAGTGTTTGCTCTGTTTACAGTGACGGCCACACTGATCACCCCCCACCCTGGCAGCTCGAGCACTTCCGGTGTTGTTGAGCAGGGCCTCGGTGGCAGCTCTGGGTGGAACACACATGACATTTTGATCATCGAGCAGGCTCTCTTGTGTACACGGAATTGCTCGGTTGTGAGGGGCCGCTGATGCCATTGTAGGACTGAAAATAAGATCAGAGGTTTTGCAGTATTTTCAAGTTGATTCAATCGGGTGTTAGCAGATAACGTCAGTGACGGATATAATAAGGACCATGGATGATTATATTGTAAGGTATTTTCCTTTTTGAACAACAAAGCACGAAAGAACGTTAACTGCTTGTTTGTACTGTTTCTATGAACATCAAATTTGAGTCAAAGACTTGCTCATGTTCAAATGCTAGTAAAACGCTTCCCGAAAACCTCAATATATTTTCAACACATCATTACCTCACCAATAAGTGTTGCTGTAAGTCCATTAAATGCGAACAGAACATTTTCATATTCATATTAGTCAGTTGGCCATCAGCGGAAAAGAGGCTTAGTTTAGATTTAGACATATTTTTTCTTTATGAGTTTACTATTTTGGTGATTTTAAGCATTGTAGCAATTATCCCACTCATCCGCTACATCAACATAATCTACCACCATATCTCAATAAGCAATTTTCGTCAAAATGTGTTTTTGGAGGGTGAGGTAACATTGTATACAATATATATGTTATATATTTTCATTTTGTTTTCTGTATATGATAGTACAATGGTTCAGGCAGATTTTAATACTCAGTTATGTGGTTTTATTGTCACAATTCAATGGAGTTAGTGTTTTACCTCCTCACAAGATTTGAAAATGAAGTAAAAAACATGATTTTTACCAATGTTTCCACTGAGAATTAGAATAACAGTTATATGAAACAAAATGTTTGCCAAATTCAGATAACCGAACACAACCTGTTATCAAAGACATGATTTGGAAAGTTTAATGACTTAATAAAAATGTTACAGCCAATTTTGTCAAATATGCATTTTTGCTTCAACTCATGCAATTTCGACACCCTGAAAATTCCTGCACACACTTGCAAGCTTACTACCCAATGGAAATTGTGTACAGATACCTCCTTTATGCAATAGAAAGGGTTTAAGGTATACAGGAAAATGTGGGAACGAAAATCTTGTTTTTCACCCCTGGCCAACTGACTATATGTGTTTATGAATTATTATCAGATTCTGATGATACCAGGTGTTCACGATAAGGTGAACGTGTCCTTCCCCAACGGTGGCACCCGTCACAAACACATGCAAAGGCAAGACAAGAGTTCACCTAAACAAACACGGGAATAAAATAGAGAATTGCGTCGGACATCTAACGCAGGTCAAATAGCTGGGATGTTTCTCAGGTGCGGGGTATTTCTTCAGTTACTGCTTCAAAACAAATCATTTTTAAATGAAAAGGAGACGAAAATTATTATTTTTCTACAACCCAATATTTCCCGGACATCCAGATGTCTGTTTGTTGCCTGATATTTATTTTTTATTGATAGTGGAATTTTTTAACAAATTATTAAAAGGCAGGGTCTAGAGGTTCAAAATTGTCCACATTCAATATTCATAATTATTGGCTGTCATGATTGGAAATACACTGCATTGTGTAAATATTTTCATACTATGCATCTAAAAGAACTAGTAAATGTACGTTTCATGAACAGTTTGATATTGAAATCATATGCGAATCAAAGCTATGCAGGTTTCTTTAAGCACGAACACAGTTGTGTCCCTTGAATTCAAATCAGCAAACTTCGAACTGTGACTCACAAATTGAGACGGGGAACAGAGCCGATCCCGTACAGTGTGTCTGTGTCCGTGTTGTGTGTGTTAGGTCGGCAGTGAGGTGTCTTTCAACATTATTTCATGTTCTTGGATTTACCATGTATAGTTGTGTAGAGTTCATAATCAGTAGAGTACTCGGATCTCAATACCGTGAGATGTAATTCAGGTCGTGGGTATGTAACACACTTTATTCTGGCTTTAAATATATGTCGCCGTCCTGTATCACTCGTCCTAACACTTTATGTTATCAGCAGTAGCGGGTTACAATATTATGTAAATTATGTTTTAACTAAGATTTGCTATCGCCTGCATATTTCAGTACAGGTAGAATCCTACTACAACCACCCGCCATATTGGGTCAGCGGGTACTCTACTCTTGACAAACAATATCATGTGCTGGAATGTTTCTATAGAGAAAAGCATAACAAGGAACAAGGCTGATTATATGACAGGTGCATTTGAAACCACAAACAGTGTCTTCACAGCTGATTTTGTTGGAACGTCATTTGTTGATTTTTCGACAAAATAAATATATGTCAACGAAAATATTTAACTTTCACATTTCTTTATCAGAATTATCGGGTAAATTCCATAAGCCATACAAAACACAACTAAAACATAACATATAGACATATCTACATATGTAATGCTCTGACAGTTTTACAGGCATTACATTCTATGAGTATTAATTTGCTTTTAAAACATACAACACTGACTTAATGACATTGATTAAGGGATTCAACGCTGAAAGAAACACCCTGAAATATGTACTTTTTATTAATAGAAACGCCCCCTTTTCTCAGATGGAATAATGAGAACGAAAAACCTTTAGCAATTTTTTTTAACTATATTGTTACAAGATATAAGAGTTCATATATAAAAGTATG